CAGAACTCACTCCAGAGAATGCAGAGCTCATTCCATTCTACTTACGATTACTCTTAGTAAACGTGCGTAGACCGACATCATTTCAAGATTTAAGAACAGTAAACAATGAAGTATGCGTCACTTATAGCAAAGCTTACCGAAAATTAAACCTTCTTGAAAATAACGCAAGTGGGGACATTTAAATGACTAATACATCTAATACTGCCTCACCACAGCAAATACCTATGCAATTACATTGATGATGTTCTTTCTACCAAATCGAAAAGATCTTTGGAAAAAATTCAAAGACAACGTGAGTGAAGACATACTACATCGTTTATGTGCAAAAAATAATATCCGGTCATTAACTTCTCTCCAGGCGTACATAATGAGGCCTTAATTTCAATCGAGGACATATGTTTAATAATATTCAATAAAACACTGTTACAACTGGGAAATCCTTCACCAAATCAATGTCCAAATAATCTCTTCGATTGCGATTTCCAACACTAAACACACTTTGAAGTAGACAAATTAAGTTCATTCGCTCAATCAAATTTTTCAAAGTTGGTTCCCGAACAAGGCATATCATATGACAATATATGATATCCCGAACAACGCATATCATATGAATATCCACGAAACTAAAATTCGAAATAGCAAATTTAAGGGAGAAGATGTTCTGCTACCGAGTATCCAAATGATCCAGAAAGATATTCCCTTCAAATTCAAGCGTTTGCAGTTTCGGTGCGTCTCACCTTTGCCATGACTATCAGCAAAGCACAAGGACGATCATTACTAATATGTGGTCTAAATTAGTATAATCCATGCTTCTTACACTAACAGCTCTGTGTGACCTGCTTCCGTGAAGGAAAACCTTCTAAAAACCTTAATTTCCGTTTACACTCCGAACGGTAAGACAAAAAGACAATGTATTCAAAAGCATTTGAATAAATGTGTTTGCAAAAAACGGTAAAATTCTAAAATGATTTTTAACTTTAAAATTATGCAAATTATTTTCATTTCAATATACATAATTTCCTTCAAATACAATTAAGACTTAAGTATTGCAACGTGTGCTGGGCACAGTTAGTGTTAAATAATTTTAAATTTACTTTAGTTAACTAAAACTACAAGTTTGAAATAGTTGAAAATTATTCATTACTTGAATTTGAAAAAAAATTAAACTATCAGTAAATATTTTAATATTCGAGTTTAATTTAAACTTAAACAATTTATATTATGCATTAAAATTTTGAAAATGTAAAAATTTTCAGAATTTTTTTTTTGTTTTAAATTAAAAGGTCATAATAAAAAAAATAAAAGATCATCATAGCAAAGTATGTGGTGTTAATAAATTATAAATTTTTCACTCTACAAAAATTTACTAATTTAACTCTTAAACTTTATTTATAAGGAAAAAATTAAAAATTTATCTAATAGTTTCACGGCTTTCATGAGACTCATCATATCTTCCAAAATTTTCTTGAAGATCTGAAAAGTTTTATAATAAATTTAGTTGAATTTACTTTAGTTAATTTCAAAGGAAGCTTATTTGTTGACATATATATAAAAAGATATTTACGATTTCATTTCACCTTTCAAGTAAATTTATTTTACAACATATCTAATTTGGTTCAGCTAAAAAATAATAGCAGAAGATAATTCAGAAAACTTTCTTGTTGGTCAGCATGATGTCAATCTAAAAAATTTTTTTTGCTGGTTTGGAAAAAAGAAATACGTAAGAAAAGTTTAAGCATCTTATGATCTTTAATTTGTAACAGCTGCTGACCGCATCTAAGATATATAAGAATTATTTGGAAACCCAAAAAAATTCAATAGTCTTTTACGAGTCACGGTGGCTCAAGAGATCGGGCGATTTCCTAACAATGACGTGCCCCAGGCTCAAAATCCAGGGATGGCTGTTTGATATGAATTCTACTTTCTACTCCCGACTCGCACTGACCACAGTGCTGCCATAAAATATCCTCAGTGGTAGACGGATCATGGGTAAGGATTCCCTTTACTTCAGGCCAACCAAGGGCTTGATTTGCCTCTCAGCGTAACGCCAATGCGGGTTAGTTCGCTCCAAAAGTATTCCACGAAGATTAGTTAGATCCAATACTAATTCAAGAAGTTCCCTTGTCTTCTGGGTTGAGTTTAAAATTACAGGACTATGGAGTTGAAGATTGACAGTCGTAAATTCAAAACTTAGTTGGCTTTTAAACACCGGTTATAAAATTTAAAATAATATTTTTTCAATATCGCAAATTATAATGGGAATTTTTTTTTAAATAATTATAATAAATAATTTTTTTGAAACTTCTTTTAATAAATCAGAATATGATAAACAAAACAAACGAATATTCTGTAATACTTGCAAATACATGTGTGCTTTTTAAGTACTAATAAAAAATGGACATAAATTAAAATCTAAAAAATCTAAAAACCATTCATTTTATCTGTTTGTTTTAATGTTGCTGTCGCTATTTTGCACTAGAAACATATATTTAAAAATATATAAGTCTTTAATATTTAGTTAGAAAGATTGTTATTAAAAACTCCTTCAAACTCCCAAAATTAAAATGATATTTTAATGATTAAAACTTGTAAGATATAAACCTCGCTTAGATGAAACTCTATTCTCTCCATGTTTCGTGAAACTTAGAGTAAACAAGTTTGATATTAAATTTATTCGAGCAATAAAATATCTTTGTCGGTTTTCCTCATTTCCGCGTTTCAAAAGATAAACATCCAAAGCAGTAGATATAAACTCTGATAACCATATTGTTTTTAATTTTAGGTTTCAATTTTGGTCAACGATAAATAGAGTACATTTATGCATTTTTGTATTGAATAACGTAACTGATTATGTAAGAACATGCATAACAGATTCATGACAAATGCATAATCTTCACGATAATTTATTTAGATGTTCATTTTGAATAAAATCTTTGCCCAACAACCTCTAATGCTATAAAGTACCGACTCGTCTTTAAGCATTGTGTATAATATAATTGTGTATAATTAAGCATTGTGTATAATATAATTGTGTATAATATAATTGCGTATAATATAATTGCATGTAATGATATAGAATAATTCGTGATAATATTGTTTATAATCTTGTTAAAATTTTAAAAAAAGGAAAAACAAATACATATTCAACGTAGAAAAATATTATTAATTGTAAATATTTTGATCAGAATAAACACAAAAATACTCTAAATTTATGTTATGAAAAGTTTTTAAGGATGCTCACTGGTAAAAATAAAAAATCAATCAGGTTGAACTATTGGCTTGTTATATTTCCAAATCTTTCTTTGTATTTATGATTATTTTATTCACAGAGAAAACAATTCTGGTAAAATTATCGTACTGTATGATAATGGAATTTCTGATTAATAAAATTAAAATATACGGTATTGAAACAGTTTAGTTTTTATTTATTTATTTTTTGTTTCACACAGTAACAGTTTACCGAAAATACTGGTTTTCAAAATTTTATCTACTATTACCACATAATTAGTAAATAATGCAAAACTTAAAAGTTAATTTAACCAAATAAATGGCTTTGCATGCTATACTCTGGGTTATCATGATAAAGTTACTAAATTTTACTCTGTCAAATTTCATCACATATACTAATCCCATATTTTACAGATAATTTTACTCAAATCATAACCAAGGCCCTGCGATGAAAATTGCCGAGCTTTTTCGTGCTCCCATAGAACCAGAAACATGGTAAATTACATAATACTCAACTATCAAAATGGCTATCTATGGTTAAAACTGTCAGTCAATATTATCGGTTATCAGTAATATAAATCTAGGGTTAAAACCATAACTTCTTTAACCATACTTTTTTTTAAGCGTTTGACCTCCCCAAATTTATTTTCAAAGATACAATAAAATATTTACTGCAATTGAAAGCTATTGTAAATTTCATCCAAGTTTGATTCTTACTCATTTATATTTATATATTTTTATGAATAATTATATTTGCAATTCTTTCTAAAGTTAAATATTTCAACATTTTTCTTTTCCGAATATATTGTAACAGATGATAAGTGAATAAAGATTCTTATTACTTAAGCATTGAATATTGGGGGAAATTTTCTATCTTAAAGTTTAAAATTTTACCGGGTGATATTTTTTGTCTGTTTCAATTTTAGAACTTCTCAGAGTAAACTGCCACTGAATAATATTGTCCCATTTTTATTATTTGTACAATAGATTGTTAGAGTACGAAAATTAATTTTGGTTCTCTGGGCTATTTATATATATTCTTCTCATTTATCTAGAAAACATTTACAAAGATCAATTTCTGGGGAATCGAAATAAATATAAGTAGTAAATAATGATTCAAATTGACAATTACTAATAAATGCTTTATATTTTAATTAAATGCAGTCGAAATAAATTATCTTTAATTTTAAAAGTCACTAAATTTAGCGATAAAAAGTATTATTTTTCGAAATCATTGGTTTGCGGTGAATAGCACTTTGTTAGAATATTAAACTTACATAAGTGTATATATATATATATATATATATATACACT